AGATAATGGTCCCGATCTGGGCAAGAAGAGGCAGGGCAGGGACAGAACTCCTAGGAAGGCAGGTACTGCTAACATGAACAAAGCCAGAGGAGACCAGGACAAAGAGCAGTTCAGAAGCTCTGCAGCCGCTCCGGAATCTCCTGAAAACTTTGGGAAAGCTGAATGGGATCTGCCATGTGTCTCCAAACCACCCATTGAGAGGATTTCTGCATCAGGCCAGGCAGGCACTGAGTGAATGTAGGAGTAGGACAAGTCCTAGCTAGGACTGTTCTGCCAGCACACTAACACTGTGTGTGTGGAGCGAGTGTGCCCGGGCTCACCCACACTAACAGCATGGAGCTCTGAGCAGGGTCACTGCAGCTGCATGGCACGGAGCTTTGGAACCCTCGGCTTTGTCTTGTGCTCTCTCCTGCATGTCACTCAGCAGCACAGAACACAGCAGTCTGTAGGGGTTTCCTCATGAAACGGACTTTTATTCCCTAGTTGGGGTGAGGTTCAGTCCTTACCGACCTCTGACAAGTAGCGAGGGCTGTTTCATGGCATTGGAGGATGTTCCTGATTGGGATGGCAGCTCCTCTGCTCGCCTTTTTAGGTCCCATTACTGGAGCTGTGGGTGTTTCTTCCCGTGCTGGAAGCACAGTTTGTTCACCAAGAGCCTTGTGCCTGTCAAGGGCAAACACAAAGAGCCTGCTCTGTGCCCTTGTGATGCTGAGGTTTCTGTAATGCTCAGTGGAGTGGTCATGCTGCACCTCCTATCTTGGCTTCCCTCTGGTTAATCTTTCCCTTCCTTTTCTAGACAGTTATTTTTGGCTGCTGTGATTATCCTTACAGGGTTTTTCCTTGCACTGAGTCACTGTTCTGGGCTGTGCCAAGAGGAATTTTGGCATTGTGGAATAAATGTCATCACTCTTCCTGCTCACAATTGTCACTAATGTCTTTGAGTTTGTGCTGTTGCATCTTGGAGCTTGCTGTGACATTGCTCTTCTCTGCTGATACTTTCACCTTTGTCATTTAGATTAAATCTTTAATCAAGAGGACGAAAGAGACTGCGAATGTGCATCCAATGTCTCGGGACCTCTCTCCAAGGCGTAAGCTAGGTCCTGCCATATTCCACAAGACTGAGTCCCAAGATCGCTTGATTGAAGAGCTGCAGGACAGACTGGGCATCGCTGAGCAGGAGCAGGAGGAATGGCAGAGCCAGGATGCCTGGCTGACAGAGGGGGTCATTGTCACTGCCAGACCCCGGGGGGAAGAGCAGAGTGGTGGACAGCAAGTAGAGAAGGTAGAAAGCGGGGACATGTGCTGGGAAATCCCAGCATGTCCTCTGCCCAGCTAGCATTGTGTGGTGGTGCAGATTGAGTGTCCTAAGCCACTTGAAATGAAGGACTAACTCTTTCTGTTCACCCTTCTCTGGCCTGAGAAGGAAAGCAGCATGTGGTTCTAGTTCTGGGTGTTTAAGAATTAGAGTGGGATCTGAGGGAGCTGGTGATAGTATCTGTTTATGCAGCCTGCTGCTATCACATGTCGAATGTCTCTGTGGGGATTATTTTTAAATCCACACTGGGAAGCCTGTCATAGAGGGGGGCTTTGTTTTGCTCAGTGCTGTACCTGTGCAGGACATTTTGAGGGTAAGATGATGCTCTTCCTTGAGCTACACAGCATGTTTTCTAATCCCCTTTTCTTTTCTTGCTGCTTTTCTCCCTTAGATAAACATACTGGTAACAGCCAGTTCCTTGTTGGTTCCTCTTTGGATTTATTCACCTTTCTTCTTCCTCCGTGTCTTTCTAGGTGGTTTTTCCTCCAGAATCCCCGCTCCTCCCAAGGAGGACAGTCTCTGTTTCAGCCTCTTCCCAGCTCCAGCCTTCCAAAGAAGCTGCAAAGACAGTCCCTGCTAACGCTGCTCCCTCTCATGTCTCTGGCCCTGGACCTCTCCTCCCACTTCCACCTCAGCCTTCCCATGTGCCATCTACCCCAGCTCCTAGTCCAGTCTCTTCCTCTTCCTTCAGCTTGGCTCCCCAGCCTCTCTTCCAATGGGAAACTTCTGATGATGATTATCATGAGGTTTCTGTTGTGGGCACCCCTCCTTCTGAGGATCCCAGGCATTCCTGTTCTCCCCAGACCTGGACCCCAAGCACCAAGACAGTTGTTTCTGTTGGCTGTCAGACTGAAGATGAAGCTTTCTTCCCAGAAATGCAGACAGGCTTCTCTCCTCTGGTTTGTGTTTTCAGCAGTGTTTTCCAATCCAACTGCTGCTTGTAACTTGATAGCTCAGTAGATACAGTGTTCAGGTAAGGGCTGGTATGAGCTGCTGGGTAGGGGAGAGGATTTATGGACAATCCCAGCTGTAGCATTGCAGAGTACATGTCTGTGCAATGAGCTGCTGGGATGTGTGGGTCATGTCCGTCCTGACAGTCACTTTGTGCAGCAGGGACTCCATTTCCCTCTGGGATTAAGAAGGTAACTCTGAAACACAACCTGCAGTTCTCCCTGCCATAATCTCTCTTGAAGTGGGGGGAGTAAAAGATGGCAAAATCTCCATACTGGAAGGAGCAGATCAACAGTCCTTCCTTGTTTGCCTCTTAAGCCAGGTGTCCAATGTGAGTGGATGTGGGGAGGAGATGGCATGATCAAGATCTGTGTTCTGCATCTCCTGTCAGGGAAAGGCTGTGGCTCTGTGGTGGTGGGGAGTTTTAATGTTTACAAGCAGTGCAGTGTTAAAGTACAGGCAGCTTTCTCAAGCAATGAGCAAGGAAAGGAAACCCTTCTGCATCTTGAACTGTTGTACTTTCCAGGTGACCTCTGCTCCTCCCCTTGTCCCCAGTGCCAATCTGCTGGCTGCTCCTGCACCCCTGGGCCCCCCCACCCCTGGCAAGGCAGGACCTCCTTTTCTTTCCTCAGCATGGTGTGCTCTTCTGGTCAGTGTGTGCTGGGATCTGCTCCCGGAGCTCCCAGTGCATTAACGCGGATAATATCCTGTAGTGCATGGTTTGCTGCTCATAGAGCTCCTCACTGAACTCGAGTGATGGCAGATCTCATGGGTGAAGGGTGGGAATTTGAAGGGCCTTTGCATGATAAATTTATGTGGATGCTGTGCTGAGTGTCCCCTGTAAACTGCAGGAGGTGGAAACAAACCTCCTTCAGGTGGGGGCTCCTCTGTGAGCTGTCAAGGAGGCTGGGTCACCAGACCAGGTAGACATTGAGGTGTGCACAGGTGGTTGTGCCTGCACTGGGTCAGCTGTGGCTGGCAGGAGTGTGTGGTTCCTGAGGTCAAGGGTGAAGTGCTCTGTTGCTACACGTTGAATTCATCTCATCTCCTTTCTCTTTGGATGGAATTTATCACCTGTGTGTGGCATGTGTTCCTGCCCTGCCTGGTGGCTACAAACCCCTGTTTAGAGTGAGAAGAGGTACGATCCTCTCAATCCTCCTTTTCCTTCTGCTGTGTTGTGCAGGAAGCTCTGGCTTTATGCTGGGGCTCTGGTTGGTCTTTGTCTCCAAAGACCTGTTGTCTCCTTGCACTGCTGTGCTTTGGACTGTCACTGTAACAGTTTGGTAGCAATTGTCTGCTCTGTGGTGGAAGGTTTGTTTTAGGCTCAGGACACTGGGGTGTGATGGGGCTGCTCTGTGCCGCTGGACTAGGAGAGGTTGCAAGTTATGGGATGGCTGGGAGGAGAGAGGAGGGGAAAAGCTGTGTGTCAGGCTCCGTTGGGAGTCATTGCTGCATGTGAGGCAAGGCTGAGGAGTGTGTGAATGTGTGTGTAAAAAAAGCTGAATTTATGTACGTCATGAGAATTTTTATACAAAGGAGCAGAAAGCAGGATTTGTCACTGAGTAAACTAATCGACTGCAAGGACGAGCAGCTGCAGGACAGGGAATAGAGCTCCTCCTGTGGCTGGAAGGGCACATTCTGCTACAGCTCTGAGCACTTCAGTATGTCCCTGCTCCTCTGGCTGTGCTGGCAGCACACTGGTGGGTTGTACACAAGTGTAGATTTTATGTCTGTTTTAATTTATTCTCTTAGTAAAAGAAGATGTGCTCCAGACCAGCATTTCAGGGAGGGACTTCTTTGGGTGTCTCTAAACCTGACAGTAGCTGTGGCAGTGCAAAGTCAGCTAAAATAATCTCTCTTTCCTTATAGTGGTTTGTCTGCAAAGGGGGTTGTGGTGGCCAAGGAGAACATATGCTTTGTTTATAAGTTGTGAGCCTCAGTAAAACATTTCTCCCTCTCCTCTGGGAAGCCTTTCCAAGCTGTGTGTGCTGTGGTGGTGTGAGTTTCAGAAAAGGCCTCTGAGACAAATATCTGACTCCCCTTCCCTCCACCTGGTGCATTTCCAGGTCTGACATTAGATGTGGCAGCCCTGTCTGCTGGGGATGCACTGCCCTCTCTGTAGGTAAACAGCAGGCAACTGCAAGGCAGTTGCTTCCTTCCTCCTTCCACTTGCTTGGCTCAGGCATGGGATGAGAGCCACCCGAGGGGCCGAGGGGACTTGACAAACAGATATGCAGAAGGTGGGGAGAAGGGGGAAGATTTTCTAGCTGGAAGGGGGGTGAGATGAGGAAGAAGAGAGCATCTCTATCAGAGAGGAGACAGAACTGACAGCAGCAGCATAGAAATGGAGAGAGGTCAAGGGGAAGGGGCCCTCTGGATGGCGTCTGCTTTGTCAGCTGGCCAGGAACTGATGAGGTAAAGGGAGATTTTTGGCAGAGGCTTAGAGAGCACTGTACTGACTGCCTGGGATGTGCTGGTGATTTCTGCTGTATGTGCAGTGAAGGAAAATCAAATCCTCAGTGCACAGCTCTGCTGTTACACATCCCAGGGTCTCTGCATGTCTCTGCATGGGCAGAATACATGTGTGTACTCTGTTCTGGCTCTCAGTGTCTTCAGAGACCTGACTCCTGGAAACCCCCTGTCTGTCTCTGCAGAGGGGCCACTGGCAGCAACAGCAGGCATTTATCTGGTAAAGCACAGCAGCACTCAGTCTTTTGTTTTCTCTTCCCTGCAGTTCATGGCACAGGGGAAAGCCGGGAGCAGCTCCCCTCCATCCACAGCCTCCAAGCCTGGCAGTCAGCTGGACACCATGCTGGGAAGTCTCCAGTCTGACCTGAACAAACTGGGTGTAGCTACAGTTGCCAAAGGTGTCTGTGGAGCCTGCAAGAAGCCGATTGCTGGGCAGGTGAGTGGAAGGTGCTGTCTCATTGCTGAACCTTGGGCTGCAGCTGGGAGTAATGGGAGGGCTGTTTCGTGAGGCTGAAGAGACTGGAGATGCTGGAGAAACTGAAGTACTCTATTTATCCACTGGCTAGGTACGCTGTAAGCTCCTCCAGTGACCTCTACCCTGCCCCTGAGGGACTGCCCTCTCCTGAGATGCTAGGTAATTCAGTTTTCATGCTACCCCAGTCCAGGGCTCACTTGAGTAGTAGAACTTGTCATTCTTGCTGATCTCCAGCTGGTAGCTTGTCATGTGGTCTAGGGGAGAGGGAGGTAGAGTTGTTCTTCATGATTTGTCTTCCCAACAGGTAGTTACAGCCATGGGGAAAACCTGGCACCCTGAGCACTTCGTCTGCACCCACTGCCAGGAGGAGATCGGGTCGCGGAACTTCTTTGAGCGGGATGGGCAGCCCTACTGCGAGAAGGACTACCACAACCTCTTCTCCCCTCGCTGCTACTACTGCAACGGGCCCATCCTTGATGTGAGTTCCTTGGGGGATTCAGGGTGCTGGCAAGGTGCTGCAGGGCCCGGGTGTTAAAAACTCCACCCATGTGTCCTGGGTGGAAGATTTTATTTTGGGATTTCCACATTTCCTTTGCCCTTGCTCTGAAAGGGAAACAACTTGGCCCAGTCAAATTCTTACACCAGTGAGAGGAGATAGTCCCTCTTACCTTTCATGAAGTTCCTTCAGAACCCCACATTGCTCCATCATTCTGATTCCTCAGCTTTTGTGTGTTGGTAGCCTGTGGTAACAGGCCCCAGTGCTAGTCCTGAGGGCTGGAAGGGGCCCTGTGTAAGGGAGGAGGCAGTGCCTAAGATCCTTTTAGGGTAAAAAAAAGTGTGCAGTGGGGAGAGCCTGAACGAGCCAGAGGCAGGGGCAAATTGACTCAGCTCTCTAAAGGACAGTCTATTTTAATGCTTGCTCTTGCCAGCGCCAACATTGATGTCTTCTCCCATCCCTCCAACCCCCACTTACTCACCTCCGAGTTGAAACCATCATTTAAATGACTTGCACTTTGTGTCTTCTCCTGAACAGAAAGTGGTGACGGCTTTGGACAGGACATGGCACCCTGAACACTTTTTCTGTGCCCAGTGTGGAGCTTTCTTTGGACCTGAAGGTACTGCTGGTTTATGCAAGGGGAAAACAATCTCCTCCCTAAAATACAGAGAAGGGTGTAAGGCAGAGCTGCTGTTGGGGGACAGTCTGAGGGGACAGGGGAACTACTGGAGTTCCAAGGGCTACAGCTGTTTGTGGGAGAAGAATGCTACCAGTAATCATCTCTTCTCCCCAGAGAGGAAGAGTATGCATGTGCTGGGATGGGAAGGGAACAGAACAAGGACCCTGCTGTGTGTGTTAGCAGGGGGAAGGATGATCCCACCCACACAGGTTATCCCACACAGCTTGTCTGGCCATAGGTGAAGATGGGGAGCTGATCCCTTTGCCTCTCCTCTCCTTTGGCAGGATTTCATGAGAAGGATGGCAAAGCCTATTGCCGCAAGGACTACTTTGACATGTTTGCTCCCAAATGTGGAGGCTGTGCCCGGGCTATCCTGGAAAACTACATCTCTGCCTTGAACACCCTGTGGCACCCCGAGTGCTTTGTCTGTCGGGTAAGAAACCCAAGGTCCTTTGCACGACCCCTCTCTTTTCCACCCTGCAGGCATCTGGTCCCATATCGGGAAAAGGCGTCTCTGGGGCAGTGAAGGGCAGGCAGTCCCACAAGATAAAAACATGTCAGCAACCAAACACCTTCTTGTTCCTCTGCCTGTTTACGTTGAACTTTTGAGCTGCCTTTCTCTTTCTGTTCCCAGCTGCAATTATGGGCTTCTGCAGCAGCTCACAGATAAACAGAGACATTTTCTGTGACCTTTAAATAATTATAAGCTAAGCTTCTCTCTGAGCACTTGCCTCAGCACTCAGATTTTGAGGATCTTCCTCCCATGCTCCATCTGACAATGTAAACTAATGAGACTGACCTTGTTCAGACAAACATGCAAGTCAGTGAAATAGTGGCAGGCTCCATACAACAGGCATAATAAACAGGAATACTGCAGATTAAATGCTTGGCACTCTTTCAGAGAGCATTGCAAATATTAACTCTTAAAGGCCCCAAGAGATGAGCCAAATCAACCAGTGCTTCCTAGAGTGGGAGAGAAGGGCAGAAACCAGATGAAGCAGCCAGAACCACAAGCTGCTGATTCCTGATGTGATGCTCAGATGTGACTGTGACTGTGCTGTTGGGGCTGTCTGTGGCTCCTGCAGTGGTGTGCAGAGAGTGGAGGCAGAAGCTGTGCCTGACTCTGTGGGGCTGGGGAGGGCTGTGCCTTCTTGTGCAGAGATTGAGACTTTATCGAGCAGTTCTGCTTTCCTTTCCCCCTGCTGCCACACTGCCTGAATTAGTGGGGCCAACATGGATGTCTTCCAGGACACAAGATTTGATTCTCTTCCTGTTTTTGCTAAATCAGAGCAAACTTTTCAGCTGTCCTGCTGACTTAGGGAAGAGACTGTTTATTGAACTGTCAGCATTAGTAAAGTCTTGGACTCGCTGCAGGCAAACTGTATTCATCCTGGTATTGTGAGTGTTTAACAGCTCTGCCTGCTGTTTGCTGGACCCCTTTCCACATGTTGGGGTCCAGCTGTGTGTGATAGTCAGTGTCCTCCCCGGGGAAGAGGACAGCAAAACCAGGATTATGCAAACATGGCTTCTCCTCCAGGCCTTGCTGCTGATATATTTGGCAAATCTGGCAGCGTCCTCGACTCTCTCCCACACTCTGCTGCTTCAGTTTCCCACTCATACAAGGAGTTTCCCACCCATACAAGACCACCACTGGGGAGTCTCCCCAGTCTGGTGGGGGTGGTGGGTGCTTCTGTTGCAGGTTCTAAAGTGTGGAGTCCTCAGCTGCCTGACACCAAGGGGGAGGAGGAGCTCTGGGCACTAATTAGCATGTAGCTGGTGTATCCTCTTCTCCTTGTCTGTTCAGAATCATTAGCGCTGTAGAACAAACAGTTTCTCCCAGCAGTGATCCGTGTGTAACTGCTGGAGATGTTTCAGGTTGGACAATCCTTTGCAGAGTGTACCAGCCTAATGCCAGCCATTGTGGAGAGGACACTTGTGAAGATTAATTGTGCCTCATTTTCTCAGCTGGAACCAGTCCAGTATTCATCAGGATTCTGCTGCATGAAAGTCTGTGTTGGTCCCTCCTGCCTGCCCTTGTGGGGAAGCTGGAGTGAGAAAAAACCAAACAGGGAAAGGTGCTGCAGTATTTCCCACCTTGGAGGAAGGAGTGTTCTCCTTTCTCCTGGCTGGACACATCTGGTAGCTCATCCATAGTATTTTCTTTGTAGAAGTGAAGCTAGCTGGGGGAAGGAGCTGGTTAATTCCCTTGCTTGTGCCTGTATCTGTCCATCTCTCAGCCTTTTCTTGGAAACTCTTCTTAGTGGACAGAGTTTGGCTCTGGACAACAGGACAATAGTGAAGGGCAGCAGTTCACCTGCCCACAGAACAGCTGGGCTGTGCCACAGAGGCGGCTTGTGGAGGTGCCCTTCCCCACATCCCTGGCTTCTCACACAACCTGTCCCCTCTGCTTTGTCCTCCTGCAGGAATGTTTCACCCCGTTCATCAATGGCAGCTTCTTTGAGCACGACGGGCAGCCCTACTGCGAGGTGCACTACCACGAGCGCCGTGGCTCCCTCTGCTCCGGGTGCCAGAAGCCCATCACAGGACGCTGCATCACTGCCATGGGCAAGAAATTTCACCCTGAACACTTTGTCTGTGCCTTCTGCCTCAAGCAGCTCAACAAAGGAACCTTCAAAGAGCAGAACGACAAGCCCTACTGCCAGAACTGCTTCCTCAAGCTCTTCTGTTAGAGGCACCATCGATGGGCGCTAAAGCATCTTTCTGCCACCCCCTCGGCAGTTCTGTCTCTCTGAACATTACTGTGATTTAGGAACCTTACCAGGCAGGGGAGGAGGGGGGTGGGGGGTGGGGAGTGCTTTCTGCTGCTGTGGAGAGGCAGTAGATCCAGAGATGAGACGGACCATTAAACTGGAAACGCCCTTGCTGTGTCTCAGTAGAGAGAGGCCGAGATCCCTCATGACGGTGTGTGTGTCTGTGTGTGTGACTGACAGCTGAGCTTAGCTCGAGGGCTCCAACAGGGAGAGCTTCCCAGCCCCCTCCTGGCAGCAGGAGTCTTTGCCAGTACGTTTCAGCCTGTGTCAGCTCCCTGAGCAAATCGAGACACTTGCAGACAACACAGCCCTCTGCTTTGACACCTCCTTCTCAGGCTTTTGCCTGCACGTGTGCAGGGTGAGCGACAGCCCAGCAAGGGCACCCTGTAACCTCAGGGCCACCCTGGCTCCCCTCACAGAGCCACACCATGTGTGTGACTTGCTGAGACCAGAGCACCAGCACAGGCAGCCAAGACCCTGCAAGGGTCTCTCCAGTTCCATTACACTGTAAGGAGATAATACCACTTACTTTTTTTTTTTTTAATTAAGAGGAATCAAGATGTTACTGTGTGGGGTGGGGTTTTTTTCCCCCTAGTTTGTTATGTCCTTTCTCGATGCCTTTTCTCAGCACACCAGAGCAGGAGGTGGGATAAACCCTGACCACCCCTTAGTGCTGATGTGTGCTCCTTGTGGGAACATCCCATGCCAGGCATCTCCATCCAGGCCAGCTCAGGGCATCTGCTCCCCTCGCCTGCTGCTCCTGGGGGAGAGGAAGAGGGATCATCCCTTCTTTAAATGCAGGTGCAGAGAGGTCAGAGCAGCCTTTTTCATCCATCCCTGTTATGAGTGAGTGTGGTGTGTGTGTGTTTATCTGGCCTGAAACTCTCCCATCTGTCAGGGCCTGAAACTGTCACAAGAGTGGGGAGAAGTGGAGGGGGTTAAGAAGCCAGGAGAAAAAAAAAAATCCTAAATTTATATCCTTTCTTCCTCTTTGCTAATGAGACCTGTCAGCCCCTTGGTGTTTCCGTTTTCTGTGCTCTTGTTAAACATGTTCTACTGAGAGATGCTACAGCAATAACCTTTTATATTGACTGTTACTGGTATAACAAGTCCCGTGGGTCAGGTGTGCGTGACACACCTGGAATTTTACTATCAAAGTGAATACTGTATCCAGTCTTTGATAAGAACTGTAGATTTCTACACTGATTTTGAATTCATATCTAATTTACTTTTAATCCTCTTATACAGAAATTGGTTTTGAAGTGATTTTAAGAAAGCAACTTTTATATCAAGCTGTGCTGTTCTAGGCAGTGTGCCAGTTGTGCTGGCTTGCTGCATCTATAACCTCAATGCTTTGTTAAGCTGAACTAACATTCAATATTTCCTTTTTATTGCGGGTTGGGAGGGGCTGGAATCTATGGGGAAGGGAACGTGACTTGTATTTTTTCCCTAGCACAGGCAGGTGAACTGTGAATAGCTTTTTTTTTTTTCCCTCCTCTGGGTCACCTGAAAGTGTGTTTTCTGGTTTTATTGTAACCTGTAAACTGCTGTATTTGAATCACCTGCCTTTCTCCCAAAGCCCAGCTTCCAGGATGTTTGAGTAAGTCTTAATGTGATGCTTTGGGGGAGGAGCTAAGACCTTTGCCCTCTGTTTCTCCTCTTCAGGCACCTGAAATCAGAGCAGGGTAAATTGGGGAAGGCGCTCCTTTTGTCCTGTGGAAAAAAGGTCTTGTGACTGAAGAGGAGAAACTGGGAGAGACAGACTCTGTTCCTGACTAACTGTGTAACTTTGGGCCAGTCACTAAACCTTACTGTGCCTCAGTTTCCCCATCTGTAAAATGGGGGCAGTTTAGCCTGGATTTGTGAGGTTATTGTGAGGCTTAGCTCGTGTTTGCTAAAGCACTTTTAGGTCTCTGGCTGGAGGGTGCTATGGAGAGGGAAGGACTGCACTGAAATTCCCAGTGCTGTTCTGTGGTACCAGCCGAGGCAGCCCAGGGAGCAGTGTTTGGAATTACTGCTCCAGAGTGCTACAGCACTGTCACCAGAGGCATCTGGGTGTGCTTTGCAGCTTGGCAGGTGCATTAGGGGCCCAGGGGTGGCTGTGTCAGAAACCAGCTCAGCCTTGGGGGAAAACTGCAGGTCCCTGTCACACAACCTTGTCGTGGTGCTGCCCTGCCCTGCTCGGATCACTGAAACTGTTTCACTCATTTCCCCTACAAATGAACTCAGTGTGTGGGTGTGAGGCCGAAGGGAGCTGTGAGAGCACTGGAGCTGTGTCAGCTGGGCTGAGTGTAGCTCTGGGAGAGTTCATGAGGCAAGAATCCTTATGCATTTGCCTTTTCATCTGTGAAGTCGATTTGACTTAAATGGGTGTTCCTAAGCTGCGTGTGTTTATCTCACTGAAAAGGTCAGTCCTTGGTGCCACTGAGAGGACACACAGCTGTTGTGTCCGAGTGTCAGAAAGGGGTGAGATGTTTTTGGCACTGCCACTATGTGCGTGACACCTGCAAACTGTGTAATCGTGTGCCTCAGTTTCCCTGCGCAGGGAGTCTTTAACCTACCTCACTCACTGCTGGTTGAGGGTTGTGTCAGTGACACTCCTGGCACACGTGGAAGGCCCTGGGTGCTGTGAGGGCTGTCGGGGGCCGAGGGGAGGCTCGGTGTCCTTAGTGCTTAACTGAGATCATTACACATTTACCTCCTGCCTTCATCTGGTGCCTGACACGCTGGGATGTTGCACCGATGCTACTCTGCCAAATAACGACTTGTGGTGTCCCAAATGCCTGTGTAGTTCATTGCAGGTGCAGTTCTAGGGTGGCACAGCCGGGTGTGGGGCTGGGGATGGTGCTGGGGGTCCCCAGCCCTGGAGAGGAGCGGGCAGGGGCTGTGAGAGCTGCTCCGAGAGGGTCTGTGTGTGCACCCCCGGACCGGGCGCTACCCCTGGGGAAGGTCTTTCTCTCCACGTCCGGGCTGGGCTGGGGGAAGCTTGGCTGGGTCGACAATTATTTGATTTTTTTCCCCCCCCTCTCATGTAAACTTCTAACTCCGCTTTTTTTTTTCCATTTTAAATTCTTGCAGTTACGCCAATAAAGTTTTTACCGTTATTCTCAGGACTGTGTCGCGATTGTTTCCAGCCCCTGAGCTGGGGAGGGATCAGACCCGGAGCGGTTCCCGCTCAGGGCCGGGCTGAGGGCGGGGCTGTGCGCTCCTCCCGCCGCCAGGGGGCGCCGCCGCCCAGCCGCCCGCGGCTGCCGCGCCCTTTCCGCCGGCGTCACGCGCCGCTCGGGTGATTGACGCGGCGGGCAGCCAATGGGCGGAGGGGAGGCAGCGCCGCGGCTCGCTGTGATTGGACTTGAGCCGCGGTATAAAGAGAGGCGGGCCCGCCCTCCGGCCCTTCTTTCCCGGAGCCCTCGTGGAGGTGCGGGCGCGGCGCGGCGGCTCCGGAGCACGGGCGGGGCTGGGCGGCCGGGACGGGGGGGAGCGGACCCGGAGTGGACCCGGGGTGTACCCGGAGTGTACTCGGGGTCCTGGGCCGCGGCCGGACTGGGGGGAGGAGGAAAGGAGAGGGAAGGGTGCGGACCCACCTGAGCCGTGCCTCTCTCTGGCAGGTCCCAGCTCGTCTTTAAACCCACCGGGCGATCCTTGGAGCACCGCCGAGATGCCCAGGGAAGACAGGGCTACGTGGAAGTCCAACTATTTTATGAAAATCATCGTGAGTGTCGGCGCGGGGCAGCGGGAGGCGGGCGGGCCGTGCTGCGGGGGCTTGATTAAAGAGATGGGTGCTGTGATGTGTCTGCTTAAGGAAAGATTACGTGGCATTAGGAAGATATTAAGACAATCCACATAGTTTTTCCTGTGAGAATCTGCTGCAGTAGTTGCAGAGGTGACATGTTCAGGGATGTGACTCGATGGCTGAGTGAAATGTGCAGCCTGTGGCACACGCAGCCTCAGCTGGAGCTCAGCCCTCTGAAACTTCTGACAACCTTTTTGTACATTTTAGCGTGTGGAGGTTTTAATGCTGCTCTGTGCTCTGTCTGGCTGTCTTTGTATAGCTACAGTGTTCTTTTTGTTACAGCAACTCCTGGATGATTACCCAAAATGTTTCATTGTGGGAGCAGACAATGTGGGATCCAAGCAGATGCAGCAGATCCGCATGTCCCTGCGTGGGAAGGCTGTTGTGCTGATGGGGAAGAACACGATGATGCGCAAAGCTATTCGTGGTCATCTGGAGAACAACCCTGCCCTAGAAAAGTGGGTACTGCTGCCTGAGGGCACTCCTGGGTACTCTGTCTGGGAAGAGGGGATGTTGTCTGAGAAACAAAACTGAAGGCTGTCATCTTCCCTTCAGGCTGCTGCCTCACATCCGTGGGAATGTGGGCTTTGTCTTCACCAAGGAGGATCTGACCGAGATCCGGGACATGCTGCTGGCTAACAAGGTAGGGGAGATCAGCCCTCACCACGTCTCTGGGCTGTTATTATGGAATGAAAAATAAAACTGAATCCTCATGGAGGATACGTCATTAGTAGGAATCCTGAAGGGCTGGGAATTGGCCCCTGCAGCCTTACACAAACTGCTTAAGTTCACCTGTGTCACGGGTGTGTGTTTGGGTGCTGTCCATCCGAGAGGAATGTGTCAGCAAGGAGATGATCCCACAAGATCTGAGGTGAGCATTCTTGCAGCTTCTCTTCTCCCCTCTCTCAGGTGCCAGCTGCTGCCCGTGCCGGTGCTATTGCTCCTTGTGATGTGACTGTGCCAGCCCAGAACACGGGCCTTGGGCCAGAGAAGACCTCCTTTTTCCAAGCCTTGGGCATCACCACGAAGATTTCCAGAGGGACCATTGAAATTCTGGTCAGTGAGCTGCGTGCTGTGGTTGTCAAAGCTGTTCCTTCACTGGGGGCTCTGACTGTGGCAGCTCAGGGAACTCTGAGGGCCAAAGCTCCCATTAATTCTTAGATACTGTATGAGCAGTGTGACTGCTGCACTTTGGGGACTGGAAGGAGGGTGTCTGGCTTGGCTTGTGGAGTGAACGTGGAGTGTATGTGTTGGGCTTATTTGCTCCATTTTCACCATTTGTGTTTGTGTCCCCTTGAACTGATGTGCTGGAATTTCTTTGTGTGTATTCACTGCTTTTCCCTCGATCTCCTCAGAGCGACGTGCAGCTCATCAAGACTGGAGACAAAGTGGGTGCCAGCGAAGCCACTCTGCTCAACATGCTGAACATCTCCCCGTTCTCCTTCGGGTTGGTGATCCAGCAGGTCTTTGACAATGGCAGCATTTACAACCCTGAAGTGTTGGACATCACCGAGGAGACCTTGCACAAGCGCTTCCTGGAGGTGAGCACCACAACCTGTGTCCCTTGTGCTCTGCCCCACTGCTGTGGGAGCCAGCACTGCCCCAGAGTGAAAGGCCTTGTGTGGTGTTTTCTGTGAGGTCCTGCAGAGCCAGGAGCTCTCCCTGGTGCCCTGTATGTGGGATTGTTTATCTGAAGCTGCTTCAAAGAGTGTTTGAGGTTGTTTGGAATCATAGGAAATCCTGAGTTGGAAGGAAACCCACAAGAATCATTAAATCCAACTCCTGGCCCAGCACAGGACACCCCAACAATACCACCTTGTGCTTGAGAGCATTGTCCAAATGCTCCTTGAGCTCTGGCAGGTTTGGGGCTGTGACCACGTCCCCGGGGAGCCTGTTCAGTGCCCAACCACCATCTCTGGGGAGAATCTTTTCTTAGTATCGGACTTAAACCTCCCCTGACACAGCTCCATGTCATTCTTGGGTTCTGTCACTGATCACCAGAGAGCAGAGATCAGTGACATTTAAATCTTGATGCTTTGATTGTCCCTCCTGTTGGCAGTGTAGAAGTCATCACCTGGCCATTCTCTGCCATGGTTTCTAGTCCAGGTTGTTCCCCAGAGCACAGAAACATGAGTCTGTCTCTCTCTCTGCAGGGTGTTCGTAATGTTGCCAGCATCTGTCTGCAAATTGGGTACCCAACCATTGCTTCTGTGCCCCACTCCATCATCAACGGGTACAAGCGTGTCCTGGCCGTGGCTGTGGAGACCGACTACACCTTCCCACTGGCTGAAAAGGTAATGGCTTCAATGTAGATGAAGTGCCTTTGGTTCTTCATTACTGGCTGGCAGTGATAAATGCACGTTTGGCTTCTAGCAAGCTGCAAGTGCTGCCTTTGCAATTGCAAAGGTTCAGCCCTTGAAAATATTTTGTTTCCTGTGAGTTTACCTTTTTCTCCTGCTCCTTTGCAGGTGAAGGCCTTCCTGGCAGACCCCTCTGCCTTTGTGGCAGCCATGCCTGTGGTCACTGAAGCAGCTGCACCTGCTGCTGCTGCCGCTGCTGCTCCGGCAAAGGAGGCTGCGAAGGAGGAGTCGGAGGAGTCTGACGAGGACATGGGATTCGGTCTCTTTGACTAACAGCAGCCACTGTCTGTCTGTTTGTGTCACAGTTGGCCTAATGGAAGAAATAAAAAGCTATTTTACACCTTCATGTGTGCCTGCATCCGTAGTGTAGTCTCCACATCACTTGGGGCTTGGGAAAAGTGTAACCCGAGGGGGCCCGTGTGCTGCAGCGGTTGTTCCTTGGGCCGAGGAGCTGCAGGGGAGCGGTTGTTCCTGGAGCCCCGTGTGCTGTCGGCGAGCAGTTGTTCCTCCTCCCCGTGTGCTGCAGGGGAGCGGTTGTTCCCGGGGCCGCTGCTCTGCACCCGCCGGCAGCTCAGCCCTTCCCGGCCAAGCTGAGCAGAGGCCTCGCCCGCAGCTGGTCTGGGCGCCGCAGCCGCCGCCCGTCCGTGCCTGTTCCCCCGCGCTCGAGGTCGGTCCCGCCGTGCGGAGCAGCCGCGGCTCCCCAGGACGGGCGGGCAGCGCCCATCGCCCGGCGCCGGGCCCGCCCCGGAAGCCGCTACCGGTTCCGGGGTCGCGGCGGAGCGATGGCGGCCGACACGCAGGTGAGTGCGGGACGGGCCGCGCCGGCCCGGCCGGACAGGGCAGGGCTGGGCTGCGGGGGCTCCGCCCGGGGCCGCTCCCGCCCCGCTGCGCCCCCGGCCCGGCGGCGGGACCGGTAGCGGCTTCCGGGGCGGGCCCGGCGCCGGGC